ATATACTCCTTTTCTTAATAATTCGGAAAAAAACTTTTACAGTTTCTATTTTATGGAAATTAAACTCTATTTTTAGAAGCATAATAAAGTAAATAGCAAGAAAGAGGAAAATTTTGTTTTATTTAAATTGACTTAGTTTACCATTGATCTTCACTCCAAGGTTTTTAGCTTGTACAGTCCGTTTGATAACCATATTTGAGGAGATGTTGAATAATAGCGGGGTAAGAATTTATGCCTGTTTGATATTTCGTTGAATGTAGCATTCGTCGGTTAGTCTTCCATTGATCTTTCTGTTTCCAATACAAAATCTCTATAATACGCAGATCTTTACCACCGATTCCCGAGTTTTTTAATATGTTCAGAATCGTTCCATGCTGAACAGTGAAGTTGCTACACGTTTCGAGAAGTATATTTAAGGTAAAAAGGGCTTCACGGATGCCAAGCGAATTTTTAAAGCCAAATTGGATTTCATATAGGCCCCTTTCGCAACGACTTCTTATTCTTTCATGTACAATATATGTGTTCATCAATCTGCTCATCGGCTCATCTGTATTCGTCGCACTTCTTTGATCGCTATTTGTTCGGAAGTGGAATAAAACCAGACTTCAGCCATTCCTCTGGTTATTTCACCAGTAGTATACTCATCGTTAAAAAACTTAGAAAATTAACGTTGTCTTCGTGGATCTTTTGCAAGAGATTGGAATATTGTCTGGTCCAGTTGCTTTCTTGGGTTTGGTTGATTTTATGGTGTGTAGAACTTCAAACTTAAAGATTTCTGGGTCTTTGTCTTGATTTATATTACCCTGTATGTTTGGCCTGTTGTATTCAAACAATTCAGTTAGATATTTACTCTACATTGAAAGAACTTCTCGTTCATAAACAGTAGTTTTTCTAGTGCCATTCACTAATAACTTAGTGGCTTTCTTATTATACAACTTATTGGCCAACAACCTATCAACCATCAGTAGAATAATGTGTTATTCTGCTTGTATTTTTTGTTTTATTTCCCTTTACTTTCTTCTGTAATGTTCTCCGTTGTACTTACATTTTCTCTTTGTTCTATAAGATCTAGTATTTCTTCCGTCATCCACTGTTGTCCCTACCCGTTACTCTATGTTTTTCTAATTTCTTGGCCGTATGTTCACGGAACAATTTTCATATTTTCTCGACACTTTGAATTGGTCTCATGTTGTCGATGTAATTGTTTACATCCTTTTTAATTTTGTTTTTGTTAAAATAGTGTTTTTTTGCTGGTGTTTCTTATCTATCTGCTTTAGCTGGACTCTTACGTTGGCAACTAAAGGATTGTGGTCAGAGCCAATATCGGCGCCAGGGTATGTTTTAACTATGTTGATGGAGTTCCTAATTCCTAAACCTTTTATTGATGAAAATGTGGTATATCTGATTTCGTACTAAATGTGGTGAATTATATTTAAGACCTCTCCAAGTATACAGCCTATGTAACTTATAATATGTACTTGCTACTACTATATTGTGTTCTTAACAAAAATCAAGTACTCAGTGTTCTCGTTTTCTTTCTCCCAAGTCATATGTACAGTGGGGACACATTGTATGTTTAAATACGTTATTTGGAAAAAAATGAATTGGTAGATACAGTCCGCAACCATGGCCGCCAAGAAAACCGAATTTATCTATTATGGATTTTTATTTTTGGGGTTATGTAAAACAAAAAGTGTACACTGAAAATTTTAATAACAATTTCGACCGTTTAACAAAAAATTGAAACTGTTATTAGAGAAATTCCGTTGGACTATATTAGAAAAAGTTATAAACAATGTCGGAAAAGGGCTGAATTATGTGTCAGTGTTGGTGGTGGTATCATTGAATAAGCTTTTATGTTAATTTAGTTTAGATCGAAAATATTTTGTTAATCTTATGATTTAAAAATCTGCATTTTGCTTTTATATCCTAAATTAATAAAATTCGCCATATCGCTATAATTTAACATAACAAACATTTTATCTTAATCAACTTTTGTTGTACATTGCTCAGAAAGATCACTTTACCTGCAACGGTTAACAAACTTCTTGCGTTAACTTTGGTACCTTGAGGATATTTGACATAAAACTTGGTTATATTTCGTTTTATGACATCCAGACTTTAATTGCAAAAGATGGAATTTGAATTCAAAAATTTTTCGTCAATTATACCTTACGGGGACACACTGTATAAAATCACCAATTGGATTTCGTTGGATTTCAAGCTTTTTAGTATTATACTAAGTTGATTATACAGAATTTCCACCTCGTTATCATACTTTTTTTCTTCAGTTGAGAAATATACTTGTATTAGGTTGATATAAAATGAAGATGCGTGTAGTTGTAAGAATATTATTATGTCGCTTATTGGAACAATGTTAAGGACACATTTCTCGATATCGAATGCTATGAAAATTCCTACACCGTTTCTATGGTGTGGGTCGTAATTATCGCTCCCGCAGTAATTAAACATGTGTTTCTGTCTGCATGTTCCTGAACCACGCTATCGCACTTCACTCACACCCATGATTGACAACTTTAAGCGTTTAGTCTCCTGAACAAGCTATTCGAATTTACCAGCAGCATAAAGGACATTCCAAATTGCTATACGTACCGTAGATTTTCCTATTTTGAGCCGGGAGATTCGTAATACTCCTTGCCCACCCCTTTTGTTTTAATCGCCACAACAATATCCTGGGAAATATTAACCGTGTGGTTTCCCGTTGCCTTCACCGTTTTGGATTCAGCCGCCTCTAACATGAAGACAGACGCTGTCCTGTTTGCAGCCGCCCACTCTCGGTCACACGCTGCGCATCTCTTGGTCCGTGGGAAGTGTTCGATTTTTGTCCTACCACCAATACCTCAGACACACTCCACTATCCGCGAACCTGATGACGCGTTCTCTAGGGCTACCCCAAGAATTATATAGAATATAGGGAAAGAAAAGGATTATAGCAACTCCACAGATGATATGGCAACATAAACAATTATTGTATATTATCTCCTAGATATGTAAAATGTAATCAAAACCATTTCATTAAAGATTGCACAACGCTCAATAAAGCACTATCGCAATGTGTGAAGCATTCTGCTAATGCCAAAGATTGTTCTACTGTAAAAAGTTGGACACCAAAATCAAACCAACACCCACTCGCACATCCAATCCAGAGTGGAGATATTTTTCCAAAATATTCACTTCAATACCTACTTACATACTTCGTATATATATATGTGCAAATAGCAAACCTTAACACATTTGCTGCCATTGTGAATACGATTGATTGCACTCAGAAGCCAAAGATCAATTTTCTAAAATTATGACTTTACAAACAAGTAAAGTGATAAATCAATAATTATATCCAAATAGTACATAGATTTGTTATCTAATAATTATCTTCGTCTATTTTTTCACTACCTGTTTGTCCCCTTACTGTTAAAAACTATCCATTAGTTACTAAAGATTTATAGTTCGTGCTATCAATTTATCTTCCGTCTCCAAATCTTATACTTTCCCACACCAATCATCTCATTTATTGAACTAAAACTAGAAACTTTCGGGTTTTACCGTGCGTCTTTTAAGAAAAGGTTTGACGTTTCGGATGCCAACCTTCTTTAGAAACTGGTTCGAAGTGACGAAATCGAAAATCGGAAACAATATATAAGTCGGAAAACTAATTAATAATCAATTAAAGCTAATTATTAACTAATTGCGTCGCATCCGGTGTGAGGCGGGAGGAGGTCTTCGTGTTCACCACCATCTTCCCATGTTCTGCTAAGCTCCCAGCCATCCTCTCTGTTGACATTATTTCTATGTCGGTGGATCTCTATGACTTCTCTTGTCAGTCGCTGGTGAAATCTGTTGTTTGGTCGAAGTCTACTCGGTGTCCCTCTGCATGGCAATGTTCCGCAATGTACCACCGTGGTTATGGACAAAAAAGAATATGACGACAAAATGAACCTACTGGAACCAGCCACCTACAGGAGGATCAAGAAGGATCCCACAGACAAGATCGTAAGGAAAATGAAGGACCTGATAAAATCCACAGGAATTACAGCAGAACAGCAAAGGGGTTTGTTTGTGCAGGCGCCGGTACCACCAAGAATTTATGGACTACCGAAGATTCATAAACCAGATGTCTCCCTCCGCCCTATCGTCAGTGCCATCTACTCCCCAACATACAAGTTGCCCAAATATCTTGCAAAGATTCTGTCTCCTTTCACAGGGAATACGGAATCGTATGTCAGGGATTCTACACACTTTGTGGAATCGGTAAAACGTATAAAGCTAGATGCTGAGGATATGTTGGTGAGTTTCGATGTGGAATCCCTTTTTACTAGGGTACCAGTTAAGGATGCTGTAGATGGTCTCCGCCAAAAGCTCATTCCGGAGGGATTACCAGAATACGTGCCAGATCTAGTGGAGTACTGTTTATCATCAACGTATTTCAGCTGTAAGAAAGATCTCCATTATCGCCAGTTATAGCGAATTTCTACATGGAATTATTCGAAGAAGACGCTTTGAAGAAGAGCCAGTGGAAATCAAAACTATGCAAGATTTTTATCTGTTTAGTAGATACTTACATCACAAGTAAGAAACAACAACTCACGTTCAGGCACGTATTCGATAATTAATAAATATAATTTTACTGACAAGCAATTTGTTACATTGACGTATGTATTATGTAGCTGCTCCATATGTAACATAAGTTTCACCTCCAACTCATTTCACAATTTCTTGCTTTGTAGACAATTTGTTTGCGGGAGTTTGGTGTAGATTGTTAAAAAAGGACCGTTCCAAATGGGAGTTCTATCTACTACATGATTATCATCAGTATGTTGATTACAGTTTGTCTGTGACCATGGGTAAATTGTATCTACTCTTAGAGACAAGGTTATTTATCAGTTAGTCCCAATTAATAGGTTAATATATGAAAACAATACTTAGTTATTACTTACTTTACTTTATTTATAAATACTAATTAAATATATATTTACATCGCATTATTTATAATACATCGCACATTGCGATTCTGGCACGCAATCACTCTCCTGACTGTTCACTACCCTAACAAATCCATCCTTGCATTCACAACCTTTATTGCATCTTCCATCGTATGTCGTGGGTGTTAAATTGGAGCAAGTTTTAATGTAAAAATTCGGGCAGACTTTGTAAATTTGGTTTGGCCCACACTTTGGTAAAAATTTACAATCTTCTTCCGGAACGCAATTGAAACTGTCGCTTACCTCTCTGGTGTAACCAGGCAAACAATAGCAACCCGGATTGGATCTCGAATTACAAACTTCCAGATCCAATTCATGAGGATCTTGGTTGCAGTATGGCCTACAAGCACTGGCGTTTTCGCGATAATATTCATTTACGCCACATTCTTTAGTACTGCGGTATGGAATTCCTGCACCTAAATCATTTGGAATACAAAATGATTAGAATAAATTTAAAAAAAGGTTTGATTGATAAATACTTACTGCAAAAGAGAATTAAAGCGGTGAATATTAAAAGGATTTGAAGACGAAACATTTCTTCTTTCGTGGATTGCTGCTTTAAAAGTAATGCCAATGGATAGCTTAAGTCTTCGTTTTTATACTGTTTCTTATCATCTAAATATAAAAATAACTATTAATTGCTCACCATATTTTAAATTTTTTAATGATAAAAATTGATTAATTTTAAATTCATCGGCTATTTCTGTTAAGTTTGTAGCATATGTATATTGAATCATGATGTAGTGAGTCAATCAGTAAAAATACTAAATACTAAAATTTTTATTCATACAAAGCGAACATTCATATAAAGGAAAAAAGTACTATTTATATAATTACATAAAAGTCCCCCATGTTAATCTGTAGTACGTTATTTATATATTTTTTTCGTTTTTTAGTTGTATTTTATGACATCGTTGCTTACATTTTATCACAAAATGCTTTCTAGAATGTAGTTGTCTATAAAGTACAGTCTTTTGTCTAAAATATTTTTTACAAGATGACTTGATGATTCTGACGATTTTAAGTAAATTGTCTTGGTGATCAGATGCAGAACGTATAATGGAGTCAGTTTGGATGATAAGCTTCATTATTTAAAATTTCGAATAAGTATTAATTGGAATATAAAATTCTTGTCGATACAGAAGCATTGATTAATCAAAAAATTATGATTCCATGGGGCATTTACGCCGTATACCTCAAATTTCGTATACAAACACCCCGTGACATAGAAGAAAAATCAAGGTAACCTCAAGTACTACAACGTATCATTTTCCGTAACAACAAAGAACATATTTTGTATTACCTTGACTTTTCAAACGTCTATAATCAAATCACTAAGAAGAAAAATCGTTCCAAGAAGAGATGAATTCGAGGAAAATTATAATATGAAGATATAAAGAAAATTCACTAATTAACAGATTACAGAATAGAATTTAAGTTAGGCATAAACAGAATCCACAAATTGAATACTAACAACACGATTAAAATACAAACTTAGGATATAAAATGGGCCAAAAGAAGATTTGCATAATATCAGATAATAACCTATAAAAAGAATTACAAATATTCAACTTAGCAAGCGAAGCCAACAAGATGTAAGCGGTAGTCAACAACAAGCTCATCGAACAAGTTATGTAATGTTACTACTTGGGAAAGCACATCTCAAGCACTGACGATTTCGTAAAAGAAGTAAGAAGTCAGATCAACATAGTGGACTGCCTACGAAATAAATTCCACGCAATAATGCACAATAATACACATATAAAACTAAGAGCATGTTAAGAGTAGCATAAATGATGACACTCTGAATTAAGAACTCCAACATCAAAGACCTACGGTACCGCAAGAGATTTTTGCGCAACCACAGTGACGGTGGAGGCGATGAAGATGGTACTAGGAGTCGTGGAAGCCTTCAAGAGAGAATCATTGGTCGACAGTAAGTGTGAGGAAACTATTCGAAAAAGGAACCCAAATTTACTGAAATCAGTAAAGTCATTCAAGAAGGCCTTTGACAAAATCTGCAGAAAATAGAAGAGAATAATATGTACAAGAAATGCGTATAGACTTATAAAACACTTAAGAAAAGGATGTACACTTCATATAAAGTTCTAGATAAGGATAGATTGCCTGTAAGGCGTTAATGCTCGGAAGAGGGCCGGGAATCTTTTGGTCAATATCATCAGAGTGTAATAAGCACTGGAATAACCTATTTACAAGAAGGGTGAATAATTATAGTACAAAATTACTGTGGTATATTTCTCTTAAGTTATGGATATAAAATATTTACATACATACTCACCCAGAAACTACATGAGTATACAGAAAACATAACAGCAAAGAGCAACTATTCACGGCTAAGCAAATACTGCAAACCGCCTGGGAATATGACGTTGATGAGTATAGTATATGTGTTTCTAGATTTTTGCTAGGCATACCGTTCCATTAACAGAAAGTATTTGTACCGCATCCTGAGTGAGTTTATAACACTAGTAAAGAGAGATTGTGATATTGATACGAGCAACATTGAGTAATACACAAACCTACAGCATACAAGAGCAGCTAACAAAAACTTTTAATATTACTCAAAACTAAAACAAGGGAATGGACTGGCACCAACGTTGTTTAATCTGGCATTAGAACATACGAAAAATGAAAATACGAAGATAAAATCTACTGATAAACAAACCAGTCTTGTTGGTGACTTATACGGACGACATTACTCTCTTAAGCCGACCTAGAAGGGATGTAGAAGATACCTGATTGAAGGACGTAGTGAAGCCTGTGGGGCAGAGAACAAACATAGAGAAAACAAAAATAAAGATGCAAATTTGGTCAGGCAGTGTCGTGGTGACATGGTCTTGATGAGAATTGTATGCCAAGTTATGTTATATCAACCTGAAAGGTTACTACAAGATACAACCAGGTAATTCTAATGGGCAGGTCATGTGGTCAGGATGAAGGAAGGATACCAAAACAACTGCTTAGCAGAGTAATGCAATGAGTGAGACATAGGAGAAAGCCGAGACTTGTCGCCATGGGAACACCATTAATATGCATGGATCCCGAAACTGGAAAAGGGAGAACAAGGACAAAGTGGCTTGGAGGGAAAAGATGAGACCAGGGATCGATATCGATCTGTAAAGCCATTGAAGAAAATAACATACATTAGTGACTCAGGGCTAACATTGATGTTTGACTGTCTTAATTATTTGTTTAGATTTTTTTAGTATCTTACACAAAATCTTTATTTTCATTTTTCGTTTTCAATTTTCATCAAATTTACCTTTGTTCTGAAATTATCATTGATTTTGAGATGTGATTTGTATCTCAAATTGAAGTTAAAAACGAACCATACCCAAAACGAAAACGAACCAAAAATTCTGTTACACCGTCATATTTTACACATCCCAACAAATAATTCGTGAAAGTGCACGGGAAATATTTCCGGTTTTATGGCCCGACCGAGTTTCGCAATAGTCTCCCAGTTTTACAGCTTCACTCGAAAGTATACATGACCAAAATTTATACTCATTGAACATGCCGCTTGGATAATACCTTTACCTAGAACAAAAAGCAAAAAAATTAGGATTTCATACAAATGGTTATGTAGTAACCATTTGTATGTACTAAAAAATTCAAATTCATTTTCATACATAAGAAAATGCCTTCTTAAACCTAAATACTTGTTAATATATAACATATTTATGCATCAATAGACTAGTATTTTTCTTGCCTAATCAATATCGTCGGGTGGAAGAGAGGTTGGGTTGATAACAAAACCTACCGATTGATATTTAATTTCGCGCTAATCCACTTTCGCACTGCAGGCCGCAAAGCGAATGCGATGTGTCCGATTTAATTTCGTATTCCCGAAATCCAATGGATCACGAATTCTCTCTCGCACTGCTTCTGTTATTGTTGATTACCGTTCTAGTATCTAGCAGTGGAATTTTAAATTGAATTTGATTGACGTCACCATATCCGCACAGAGCGCAAACGCAACTCGTACCCGGCCACAACTTAAATTAGGAATAGTCCACTTTGAAACTACCCGCGGCATTTATCCCACTAGAATCGAATTTCCAACACACGTAAGGACAATCCAAAACTAAATTAGTTGTGTCGTTGCCTATGAATAGGTAAATAGGAGAAATGCTGTAAATCATGGGAGATTGGATTTTCGCATTTTCAATCTTTTACAAATCTTTCTCATTACTCATAGAATTTTTTGTTGTAAATAAATTGTAGTTTATGGGATGAAATGGACAAAGTCGGTTAAAATATCTGCTGAATAGAAATTATGTCAACGAACACGTAACTCTTGGCCTTATGGTGACCTATTTTCATCGGGGTGGCGGCACCGCCGTCGACGTTATTTCTCCATCGGGGTTCATCAATTATTCATACGTCAGCTGAGAGGTGAACAAAACTGCAAAACTATGACTGGAAAATCGATTGATATAAATAACGATTATAACAGAATAGCTTTTTTTACACTTTCTAGGGTTTTGTTGTTTATTTTAAAATGGAATCCCACCCCGTTAGTAGTAAATAGGGAATTATCCGATCCTCGACGGTAATAAATCTTGCGGAGAAACCAAAATTCTGGGTACGTTTAAGAGTTTTGTTGCTCTGCAGGACCTAATTAACCGGGCGCAGGAAACTAATTAACTAGGGAGATCTATGGCTCTACTTTGTAAGATTGTGAATATTCCCGATGGAAATAAAATAACTGTTTCCATCGGGATAAGAACGGAATTTCAAGATGCAAAATAATTGGAAAGAAATAAGTAATAATAATTATGTCTAAAAAATGAATAAACAGCATTGTGAAAACTTTATGCCACTCAACTCTACGTTTATTTCTCTCGCTCTCATAATATCAATCAACAAATTGAAATATAATACTCAAACTATAAACTACTCCATAAATTGTTGAATGAAATACTTAAAATAATATAGAAAAATATGAAGATTAAGTTATTTGAGACAAAGTTTTTAGTCAATTGTTGTAGAAATTTAAATAGTAATTGATACGTTCAACTTTCATAATTTGGTTGCTTATTATTTATTTATTCTATTATATTTATTTTTTTCATTCTTAGTGATTCTTAAACGTTGAATGGATGTTTCTCATCTCGTGCTACGTCCGCCGATGTTTGTTACTACAGTTGTTAGTGATGATGCTGCCTGGAAAAATAAAAATAAATTGCTAAACTATAAAGCTACGATTTGACGTGCAATTGTTAGTGAATCATTATGTCCCGGTCGATTACGACATGGATACATAATGTAACTCTCACATATTCTAGTTGATCATGACTTTTGAAGAGATAGTATTTGTGTATCGTAGAGATTCGAAGAAGGAAAATAAAATGGAAAATGTTATGTAGAAAGTAATGTTAAGAAACTTGAAAAAAGCCCAACAAAATACTGCGTCGACAAGTACTAATACATCGAAAGAAAAAAACGGAAAGAACAAATCAAATAAATTATTGAACGGATGAAAAAGAATTAGCGGTAGTAACGGAATAGGAAAGGCAAGGAGAAACAAAGCTGACAAGAAACTTAATCCATTACCTCATTAATTCCTCTTTCCTCACAAAAAGCAAAAACATAAAACAATGGCGATGAATCCGGATTTCAGATTTGCCCAGAAACTGGAAAGGTTTTTGCTGGAAAAGGCGCGAAGAATGTTTATTCTGTCGAAAAGGGATCATCTAAGGAAAGCGTCACTGTCATGTTTTCATTTTCTGCTTCTGGATTAACTTGTGCACCACTGATAATTTATCCTTGTAAGCGAATTCCAGAAAAAATAAGCCAGACGGTCAAAGATCCTGATTGGGGCATTGGACGATCCGATAATGGGTGGATGACGGCAGAGACGTTCTATTATTATGTGAAAAATGTGTTCCATCGATTCTTGGTGAAAAATAATATACAGTTTCCTGTATTATTATTTTTAGATGGCCATAAGTCTCATTTAACTTATGAGTTAAGTTTACTTTACAATGAATTAAACATAGAAGTTATCGCCCTATATCCTAATGCAAACCGAATTCTTCAACCATGTGATGTTGCAGTATTTAGGCCCATAAAAATGCGATGGAAAAGGGCCGTCAGGGAATTTTATGAACAAAATCCTGGAGAAGTTCTGTATAAAATGACGTTTGCTCCTCTATTGGAAAAAGTACTGGCCAATAATATTAAGAGGGACATTTTAATTAATGGATTTCGTGCGTGTGGTTTATTCCCTTTCAACCCAGATGCTATTGATTACACGAAATGTTTGGGAAACAAAAATGAGCGTCCTGAGGTAATATTTTAAAAACTTTCTCATTTACCTATAAGTTAATACCAGCTTATCACATTTTTTTAGATAAAAATGCCACCCCCGTGCATGGACCATAGAACATATGTCAGTTTGACTGGAGAAGATTTATTAAAAAGAATTAAATCTTTCGACGATCTTTTGATTAAGGAAGGCATTACCGAAGAATTTTTGACCTTGTACAAAATATGGAGTTATTTTGAAAAACCAGATTCGTTGCCAAATGATAAAAAAGATGACTTGGATATGATAGACGTGCCAGGATCATTTAATAATCAGGTATTGAAATTGACTGAGGCTGAACCTGAATTAGATACATCTGAAAACCAACCATCAAGTGCGCCACAAATTAAAATAAATTTGGATGCTGAATTGAATTCATCTGAGGATCAACTTTCAAAGGAGCCAAAAATTAATATAACACACAACATTGTCATAAAACCTGGCAAAGACAGTATCCTCAGTTTGCCTTCTACTAGTAAAAATATGGGTGACTACTTAGTAGTTCCAGAAAAACCATCAAGAAAGAATAAACGAAATATCGAAAGAGTTTCCTTTGCTATAACATCTAGAGAGTATCAAGAGAGTTTTGAAAAGAAACGTGCTATAAAGTTAGAATTAGAAAATAAAAAATTGGAGAGAAAACGAAAAAGAGAAGAGAGTGCAGCAGCTAAAGCTTTAAAAAAGACTACGCGAAAAAATATAATGAACATGTTCCTGAAGAAGGTGATGAGGCTTTATTCTTGTGTCACATGTGTTTCACTGAGGAAACTGATGATGATGATATTTCAGAAATAGAAAGTGAAGAAGGAATCAAAACAGACGATCAAATAAAACCTGACAGCAAAATGTGTGAGTAACCAAAAATGGGAAGTGAAGGAGATTCGGAAGACTATGGAACAGAACATGACGACTTGGAAGTCGAAGAACTATTTAATATGTACCAAAATGAAATGAAAAATAGGTACACCCAAGTGATTAGTTTTAAGTTAATAAAAGTTTTGAACACTGATTTCAATTTTTTATTTGCTTTTAATCATTACTTTGCCAGTGTCCAATAACTGAAAATATTGTGTCTAGTAATTGAATTTTTTGTCCAATAACTAACTTTTTGGAACCCTTTCAAGTTTTTTAAAATTTTCTGAAAGAACTGTAATATTAGAAATATTTAAAACCCGTTAGCTTAAAATAGGATATATGTACTAAGATCTGGCATAGGCAGAATAATGTCCGTTGAAAAATAATCCAGTGGTAGCGACCTGAAATTGAAAAAAAGCTTAACTATCCAATAACTGGTATGTTTACCCTACCTAAACTATATGCTCTACTAAAATGACACAAACAAAATATGCCCATCAGGCCCAGAACGTTATTTAATAACTCCCCAACACATAAACTTGCAAATTTCATGTTAAATATTTTCAAAGAATTAATATTCGAACCTACATACTCTATATCGAATACTAACCAATTCATAAAAGAAGTTGAAAACGTAGATCTTACAAATAGATATTTGATTTCTTTCGAGGTAGTGAATCTATATTCTAATGTTCCAACAGAATTTACTTTGGATCTCACTGACAAGCTATTTAGCGATCATTTTGAAGATGAAACAAATATCAACGATTTTAAAGATATCCTAAAACATATAGTTACACAAAACTATTGCATTTTTAATAATAAAACTTACAAAATATCAGAAGGTTTACCTATGGGCATGCGTTTATCTGGCATACTCACCGATATATTTTTGACTATTTTGAAAACCATCATATTATGAATACTAAATGGATAAGATATGTAGATGACGTTTTTTGTATATGGGTAGGAAGTCTTAGTGTTTTACACGAATTTCATAAATATCTTAACCAATTACACAATACATGAAACTTCACCATCGAGTTAGAAAATAATAAAGTTTTAAATTTTTTTGGATCTTAAAATAAGCAATAATTAAAACAGATTGAATTTTAATATTTATAGAAAACCTAGTTCAGTTGCTACAATAATTCCATATGATTCAAATCATCCCTTATCTCATAAATTAGCGAGCTTCAGATATTTTATCGAACGAATGTTTAATTACCCATTATCACAAAATAATAAGATTGATGAATTTAATTATATCTTTGATTTAGCAAAAAATAATAATTTTAATATAAAAGTAATTAACAATTTAATTAATAAAATTATAATAAAACATGTACCTTATTTTCCAAAGATAATGAAACTAAAAACTATAAACCCATTCCTAATAGAGTTAAACTATTACAGCATCTAGTAAAAGAATTTTTCAGAAATATAATATTAATCTTGCCTTTTCTAATAATACAACGTTAATTAAGGGTATTATCTAATTATCATTTTAAAGATTATAACATTAATAAAGAGAGTCGTGTCTATCAAACATAGATAGGGCAAACTGACCGAAGATTGGGAAATAGAATTATGAAAAATAAAACCAATTCTAATGTTTTTAAACATAAAATTGAAACAGGACACGAGATTAATTTTGAGAATGTAAAATTGTTGCATAGATGTAACAAAGGTTTCAAATTAGATCTCTTGGAAGCTCTAGAAGTTAACAAATATACTAAAAACATAAAATATGAACTTCTCAATGACCAGTTGGATATTAAATTTACACCTTTGTTTAGTTACCTAAGCAAAATATAAAATTTTTTTGTGTTTCTGTGGCTTCGTTTTCTTTCTATATTTTTTGGTAAAAGGTTATTTATGTCTGTTAAATTTTCTTGCGAAATCTGTTTGTTTTATAACAGAGATTTTATTATAATGCAGTTTAGATCTTGCTTCGTCCAATGTATGTTCGGTTTTGGAGAGTATTCATTTTTATAGTGTGTGTAAATTTTGATAGATTATAACTTATATTTTTTAAAATGTTTAATTTTGTATTTCGTGTCTCCATTTTATACTTTTATATGACTGTAAGTTAAAATTCTTATTAAGAATTGTTTATTATTCTTTATTTTTGTATCCCATAACTTATTTAAGGAATGTTTGTAATTGTGATTTCTTGGTCATGTAGATTCGGCTGATGATGACCTAATAAATTAGGTTGAAACCGGTACCGAAGAATTTAATAAATATAGTAAGAAAGAAGTTTTATCGAACATCGTATTCTTTCATTTAAATTACTTAAATTTAATCTTGCAACATGGATTTTATCCATTATAAACAATAAAGTTCACTGAGAGTTATTGTTAAGACACTACATCATAGGATGTTTAAACTAGTTCGCGTCTGTGGCAAAATGCTCGTGTACAATGGGTAGCTCTAAATGAACTAGAACATTTGGCAGTCAAAGTAATCTAATCTCCTGACTAAAAACAGATGGAACCCACTCAAATGCCAACATGTCTTACCTAGAGGTAAGATATCAGGATATCATATCTTATCACTACAACATATCGTAGTGCTTATGGCTGCGATACTTACATATCCAACAACATAGAGAATGCCCCTTCTAGTGTTAACTACCATATGCCATAATATACATACTGTCACAGTGATGGTTGGAGATATAGGAGTATTCAATATATTTAAGCCAACCTTAGCTTTTTCGACACCCTACCATTATACTGGAGATTTCAAAAGCCATCACTCCCTCGGGAAATATAAATAAATCGAAATTAATTATATACAACTACATAACAATATAGCAATCTTTATTTCTAAAATGCTCATAACATGGTACATTTAATATATTTTTTTTAATTTTTTTTATATATATATTTATAACTTGACTGAAATGTATATAAACGTACTTTGCGATTTCTGCACTCTGTGAAGACGTGGCAATAAATTATCTCCAAAACGCATGTTATAATTATTATGCGAGTCTGTATTTCTCACCAATGTTCCTTTTTGTTCGTGTACATGCTGGAGGCAAGCGAGAATAAAACATTGCGTCCTCTGCAGCTTCCCTGTATTCTAGCTGCTTCAAAATCCTTATTACCTTTTTTTACATTTTAAAAATTTTTTCGAACTCTTGATGTACCCCATGTTAGTATTCCATATACTGCCATACCATGAAAGTACGCAAAATACACATTTCTTAGTTCTTCTCCAGGCAATATTTTTGTTACCATTCACAGGCAATACAGTGAATTCGCTAATTTCTTTTTTAATTCAATTATGTGATCACCCCAAGAAAGGGTTTCAGATAACGTTACACCTAGAAATCTTGTCGTTCAATTTTTTACTTCTTGTGTTTTTCTCCTATAAAAGGTAGAGTTTTTTTACCTGTTTAAGTATAAATAATTCGATTTGAACCAATTGTTGGCTGTATCTAATGTCTTTTTAGTCTTTTGATCCAGGTCCTGAAAATCCTTTGAAATATTTATAAAAGAGTTATCAGCATATAGACACATAGAGTCCGCCTGTATATTTTGACACAAGTCATTGATATACAATAAGAATAAAATGGGGCCCAGCACAGAACCCTGTGGTACTCCCATTTCAACCTTCCTTCAATTAAAAGTAGTATTTGTTATTTGATTCCAATAAACCTGTTGCAGTTCTTATTAACCGATTAGTGTTTTCCGTTTTCTTTTACACCGAATTTTTCTATTTTCTTCAAGAGTATATTATTTTCTACAGAATCAAAAGCCTTGCTAAGATCACAGAAGGCTACTTGCGTGTAACATTGCATATCAAAAGCAGCTATTATGTTTTGAATTACAGTAAGAAGTGCTGTCATTGTTGATTTTTTCTGTTGGAATTTCGTGTTGATACTTTGTTATTAATTTCTTTTTCGTTATATGTTTCACGATTCTGAACACCTGAACAACTTTTGACATTATTGGTACTATTGATATTGAGATTCTATATTTATTTTTATCATTACGATCCCCTGGTTTTTGAATGGGAATGACTCTAACATATTTTAATTCATTTGGAAAAGTTCCTTATCAGATTACTTATCCTAAGTGGGGAGATCTTTGATGGCAAACCCGCAGATCTTGAATGGCTAGCCGCATGGAATATAAAATTTTTGTCCAGATTGGAGGTTAAGAACCCTATCTTATTAAAAAGTTATTGTTATGAAAACTAACGGATAAAAAACCGGACGAATCCCAGGCAGACACTAGGACGCTTAGGGTGTACTTCAAAGTCTTCTTTATGCATTTGAACCTCGACATAATTACATAACAAGAAATAAGACAGAAGGAGATAGGTACAATAGAAAAAAAGAGCCATTCATTCTTCCGTAGAGATTTGGTTGTTGTTGAAATTAAAGTAACTTTATTTTAAGCTAAAATTAGTTCTTTAGTTTATTTAGAGGGATGTAAAACTACAATAGCCTACGCATAAGTTTTCCTTTGTAACTTGCTTATGATTTAATGTTTTCAGTGTTCGCTGATTCACGGCAACTGTGCTTAGATTATTTTATTTTGTTATGATAGAATGGTATAATGCTGTTAAGTCTTGTTCATTTCTTGCGACGTCTATCACCATAAAAGTTGGTGCAAAGAATGAGCAAGACTTTCTGGTAAACATTACAATAACGAGAAAAGTGGATGGATTCGACTGTTACAATTACTTCAGAAACTTGTGTCATCTCATTATTGCAAGCAAGAACAGACATCGCTTTTATTAGTTAAGATTGTGCAGTTGACATCTTGGTGATTGTGAATGATGACCACTTGAATCTATTTCGTCCATAGAAATCATTCGGAGGAAATCAATGTTTATTACCTTATCAACTTATTTCTCTATGTCAGATCTTTATTAAAATTCATAGATTACGATCAATTTAATTAACAAATTAACAGATTTGTAGAGTTCACACTGTTTCAAAAAATGTATCATAGTGATTATAATTTTTTTTAATTATGCT